CTGCCAAGTATCCCAGTTTCCGCTTGCCCATTGGTGGGCCCGAGTATAACGGGTGCTGCTGGGTAGAGAGGAGAGAGCTGAGCAGACATGTCCGCTTTCCTCTCCTTCTTGCTGGCCTGAAAACAACACGTACATCACTACCTGGGTCCCCCTCTCCATGTCCCTGGCCAGTACAGACATGAAAGAATGTAATGCAATGCGATCTGCAATGCATTACATTCAGTGGAGCACAGGAGAGACATCCAGATGTCTCATTAAAGAGAACCGGTCAAAAAAAACAAAAAAACAAAAAAAAAAAAAAACACACACACACCCCCCACACGACTTTGTCCCCTACATAAATGAGAAGGAAAATAAATAATATACATATATTGGGGGGTATAAAAAAAAATTGGAACTACAATCTATGCTTTCCCTAAGGTGTTTGCTTTCAAAATATATTTTAATGTTTGTGCTTCATTCAATCTTCAGAATTTTTTTGCTCTGGCAGCAAAAAAGGTTAAGGAAAAAAAAAAAAAAAAAAAAAAGGCACTCGTTAAGGATTGGCACCTTTGGGGAGCGGGAACCGGAATTTGACAGGTACCCGCTCCCACCTCTGGTGCGATCGCCTAAGGTGATCGGAAGCAGAAGTTATCCCCACCCCTCCCTGTAGTCTTCTGGGACATGTGACAGGTCCGAGAAGACTACGGGGCCATCCAGAAAGCGCAGCGCTACTCACGCATGCGCAGTGGGCACCCGGCTGTGAAGCTGCAAGCTATCACAGCCGGGTGCCCACACTGAAGATGGCCGCGCCAGGGAGAGAAGACGGCCGGTGAAACCAGCTGTGGTGAGGACACCGCTGGACTGAGGGACAGGTGACAGTTTTTGTAGCTGCCGACTTTTTTTTTTTTCTTCAACTGGAATTCCACTTTAAGAAGGAATTATCCCAACTTGGCTGCAAAAGTGGAAATACACTTCAAGAAACTGAGAACAATCCTGCCAAAAGGAGAACTGTAGAGAGAAATCTACGTCACAACGCAAACACGCTAATACTCTAATATAGTGTAAATACAGACATGGCCGCCCTCTCCAATACCACATCTGCAAAAATAAACCTACCATGTTTCCCCGAAAATGACACTTTTTATTTTTTTTTCCAATAAAAAACACTAGGTCTTATTTTCGGGGTAGGTATTTTTGTAATGTCCAGATGTGGACAGGGGGTGCAGAGGTGAGCTGCAGGCAGTTGTGGATGAGGGTTACTATAGAGAGGGCCGACCGATGACAGTTGCGAGCTGCAGTCAGGTGTTGCAGAGGTTACTTGACAGGTGAGTTTCAGACACGTGCAGATATGAGCCGCAGACGGGGAATGGTGGTGAGCTGCGGCCAGGGGGTGCAGAGCTGAGCTGCGGGGGGGGGGGGCAGTGCAGAGCTGAGCTGTGGCCGGGGGGGGGGGGTGCAGAGGTGGGTTGCAACTCAGCTCACCTCTGCACCCCCCCCCAGCCGCAGCTCACCTACGCACCCTGTCTACAACTCACCTGTCAATTTACCTCTGCAACACCTGACTGCAGCTCACCTTTGCACATTCCCCCTCCCTATTCACTGCTCTCATATGATTGGCTAGCTTTGCAAAACACAGCTGTCAGCAGCCGGCCCCTCTCTATAGTAACTCCCATTTCGAGTCCTATCTTCCCGCACAGCGCACCAAGCGCACTCGCTCACTGCTCCGCCTCTTCCCCACTGGCCAGCGATCACCCCCAGGACATCGACTTCCATGCATTAGGCTGCAGGAAGAGATGCCCCGCCCCTAAACACACTGCATACTGCGCCCGCAGATATCTGTTCCTTTCCCTGTCCCACAGCGAGTACAGAGGTAGGGAGGTTCTGTGGGAGCGGATGGCGAGTACAGAGGTAGGGAGGTTCTGTGGGAGCGGATGGCGAGTACAGAGGTAGGGAGGTTCTGTGGGAGCGGATGGCGAGTACAGAGGTAGGGAGGTTCTGTGGGAGCGGATGGCGAGTACAGAGGTAGGGAGGTTCTGTGGGAGCGGATGGCGAGTACAGAGGTAGGGAGGTTCTGTGGGAGCGGATGGCGAGTACAGAGGTAGGGAGGTTCTGTGGGAGCGGATGGTGAGTACAGAGGTAGGGAGGTTCTGTGGGAGCGGATGGTGAGTACAGAGGTAGGGAGGTTCTGTGGGAGCGGATGGCGAGTACAGAGGTAGGGAGGTTCTGTGGGAGCGGATGGTGAGTACAGAGGTAGGGAGGTTCTGTGGGAGCGGATGGCGAGTACAGAGGTAGGGAGGTTCTGTGGGAGCGGATGGCGAGTACAGAGGTAGGGAGGTTCTGTGGGAGCAGATGGTGAGTACAGAGGTAGGGAGGTTCTGTGGGAGCGGATGGCGAGTACAGAGGTAGGGAGGTTCTGTGGGAGCAGATGGTGAGTATAGAGGTAGGGAGGTTCTGTGGGAGCAGATGGTGAGTACAGAGGTAGGGAGGTTCTGTGGGAGCAGATGGTGAGTACAGAGGTAGGGAGGTTCTGTGGGAGCAGATGGTGAGTACAGAGGTAGGGAGGTTCTGTGGGAGCGGATGGTGCGGTCACTTCAGCCATGCTTCTGTGTTTATAAGAGACAGTAGATATTGGTGTGCACAGGGCCAGTGAGGAGGTGGCAGAACGCCATTCCGCCATGTTCCAGCTGAATAAAAGCCCTGATCACAGCTAGGTCTTATTTTAGGGGAAACAGGGTATGTACTGCCACTGAACACAACATCACACTCCCATAACAAAAAGCCTGATGCAGGCTTACCAGTCAGCTGCTGACATATTTGTAAAGTGCAACGAAACAATAAATAAAATTAAAGGAAAAAAAAAATGTGAATTTTCAGATTGAGTAAGGAAGGGTTAGAACTATCAGGTTTTAATTCCTGTGTGTGGGGAAAAATGTACCCTTGCCCGGTGACAACTGTGCGTGGGGGCAGAGAAATCCAAAATTTGACAGCTGTCACCAGTACAAGAATAGAGGTTGAGTCTTCTAAAATGGAGACACCTGTCCCGGTGAATGCCAAGAGGTGATCCCTGCTCACTTCAAAAGAGATTTCCTCTCACTTCCTGCTCTGTCCAGGCAGTGAAGGGCATCTACTCATATAGAGAAAGAAAAAAAAAAAAAAAAAAAAAAAACCAAAACAAAAAAAAAAAAAAAAAAAAAAAACACACATTCATTCAATAAAAACACACCTGGCAAGAGTTAACCCAGTCTCTTAAGAAAAACAAAAAGTGAGTACTGGCAGCCTGTATAACATTTCACCTTCAATTATTGCTCAGTGTCCCTGCTGGGGAGATTCCCCCTCTTTGCTCTGGATGATTACTGTCACCAACACCGAGTTATCACCATAACCGAATAAAGTGGAAATCTTCCAATGGGGACACCTGTTGTGATGAGTGTCTAAAAAGGAGGATTTCCTTCGCTGAAGATATGTCCTCCTTTCATCTTTCCCAAAATAAATAAATAAGGATTTTAACCCTTTCCCGCTCTATGAACTGAAACAGGGTAGAGGGTTATAATATATTACACAAATGTACACATTTTCCCCAAAATAACAGAAATATGCCAAAGCATATACTCTTTTCCCCATTCACACCTGAGCGCTGTACCATTACCGAAGCGAGACAACGCTCAGGATGAAGAGTCCTATTATTCCTCAAATGGGCCTGTTCACACCTGAGCATTTAGGTTGCTTGTTTAGCTTCTTTGGGGCAGAATTGCAAGTTTTTGGCCCTATAGACTTTGATGGCAGCATATGACACACATTTTTCCAGGCGTTGCCATTTTAAAAAAAAAAGTCTATGAGGCAAAAATAAACTAAAAAGTGCAGTTTTGCACCACTAAAAACTATTTTTATATATCCTGAAATTATATATATTCTCTAAATAAAAAAAAAAAAAGAAAAATTAAAAAAAAAAAAAAAATATATATATATATATATATATATATATATATATAAAAAAAATTTATATTAATATTATATACGTGCATGTATATCTGCTTCTGCACTACAAAAAGCAAAAAAAAAATTTATATATAATAAAGTATATTAAAATAAAAAGGGCTTGCAATTCAGCTTCTCTACTACAAAAAGGCAAACATTTTATATATAATAAAGTATATTAAAATAAAATATGTGCTTGCAATTCTGCTTCCGTAAGACAAAAAGCAAAAAAAAAAAAAAAAAACAAAAAACAACAAAACAGTGAGCAGTGTCAGCCCGTTTCCTTGAATTAAAGAATTAAAAAGTGCATCTGAAGGAAATTTTTTCTCTCTTTATATATAAAAAAAAATCTATTACGTTAGTTTATAAATAATTATTAAAAAGAACAACACTTTAAATAAAAATGAAATGTCTGTACATAAAAAAAAATAAAAACGTCTGTACATAAAAAAAAAATAAAAATAAAATAGAGAAACGTTTCAAAATTGCCTGGCTACACTCAAGTGTGAATGGGGACCCACTTAAAATGTGCAATTGTCTACGAAGGAGTTACAAAATTGCAATAATAAATAAAAAAGGTTAATAATTGCCCAGTTACTTGTCAACTTTAAACATTTATTTAAAAAAAATAAAATAAAAAGAATCAGTCTGAAAAAAAAAAATAAAAACAAAAAAACAGAAAGGGTTAAGAGGAAAGGCAAGAAAAAAAAAAAAAAAAAAAAAAAAAAAAAAAAGCAGAGTGTGCAGAAGAACTTCTGATCGCTGTAACAAAAACAAAGTAGTAAGAAGTATATAGAGCTACAGACAGCAGAGCGCACCCGCCGGCCCCTCAGATCACACTCCGGTCAGTCCCTAAGTCTTTGTGCGATCTGCAGAGTCCCCAGAAGTCCGTGTGAAGACGGCGGACGGCTCTGTGCACCGCCGTCCAGATGTCCCGCTATGGGAGGGGAGCAGGTTATGGCTCTGAAGTGACAATCACAGAAGTCAGAAAAGAAATTCATTTTGTTGAAATGCTGCAGCACTGGTGCTCAGAGTCCACAGTATCAGTGCCCCGTAGGGTCAGCCACCACCTGCTCCCTCAGCAGCCGCCGGTTCTCCTCCTTGAGCTTCTCCAGCTCCATCTCCAGTTCCCGAAGCCTGGAGGGGTCGGCCTGCTGGGACCTCAGGCGGTTGTTCTCCTCCTCCATGCGGCTCAGGCACTTCTCCAGCTCCATGTACTCCCGGATCAGCTCCTGCTTGCTCATGTCCTGCAGGCTCTCCACGTGGTACTTCTCGTAGGTCTCAGAAAAGTCCTTCTGCAGGAACTCAGAGCCGTCGTCGCTGGCCATGCCGTCGCTGCCCGTGCCATCCTCCTCCTCGTCCTCCTCTGTGCTGTCCGAGTTGACGTGGAGGGGCGGCAGGGCAACGGGGGCTCGACGGGGTGGCGGGCACAGGTCGGGCTCCTCCAGGTCGTGGTCCTCCATCAGGAACTGAGTGGTGTTATAAGGGGCCACCGGCTGGCCCTTGGCGAACATCTCGGCCCTTATCCTGGACGCTCGCTGCGACTCCCTCTCTTCCACACGCTTCTTTTCCTCCCAGGTGAGCTTGCTGTACGGCTTCCAGGCGCGTTTCTTCTTGGAGGGCAGCCGGCGGTGCCGCTTCCTGCCCAGCTCCCTCCAGGACTCCCCCGGCTCATGGCTGTCGCCCTCCTCTGGTTCAGGGCAGGATGGGGAGGAGGGGTGGTTCATCATCCTTGGGCACTCCCCCATCTCCTCCTCTGGGGGCCACCCACTCTCTTCTTGGCTGCCCAGCAGGGTTTCCCCACTTGCCAAACTTTCGCAGGGCAGGCTTGGCTCCTGAACTCCCACTTCTGCCATGGCAGCGCACCCCCTCTCTCTTGGAAATGGAACAGTCTCTCTCAAGCCTCGCAGGTGCACCCGGACCAGACCACTGAAGTCACGGGGGGGGGGGGGGGGTGAGTGTTGGGGGAGATGTCACTTGGCTTTGCAGCGTGTCAGTGTGGACTTTCAGGCAGCAAGCTTTCCCTTCTCCACAGCTGCTTCAGCACTGCCCCCAGCTGGCGGCTTCCTGCCGCTGCACACACACAACAGCCAAAGCCCCCGCCTCCCTCTTCTTCCTCCTCCCCCTACCAGCTCTCTCCGCGACTCCTCAACTTACACACTCGCCAACCAACCTCCAACTGCCTCTGCCCAGCCTGGGACGCCCGCCTTTTATACTGAATCCGGCCCCCTGTCACCGGCGCAAGCGCAATCCACCCCGCGCAGGGGGCTTCTGGGACCTGTAGTCCGCCCAACTTACCCTCAACGAGGCAATCAGCGCAGGTTTGGACTACCACTCCCACAAACCCTGAAACGTCACGGGCGCGGCAGCCAATGGGCGCCAGTCGCTCCGGCGCGGCCCCCCGCGCATTCCCATTGGATAAAGGGGAAACGGGTTGTTGCTAAGCTAGGGCCGGGACGCTATTGGTTGGGCCGCACGTCCGTTTACAGCACGAGAGCCAACGGGAGGGCGTGGGCTGTACCACTTTTACGCCCCAGGGGGTGTCACGGAATATTTGTACATTAACGGTCGTTTTCATGAACGGACGGTGCGCTAACATAAAGCGGACTAGTTCGGGTACGTTTACGGTTCTGTGGAAATGTAAATAACAAACGCGGTTCGTGTTCAGTCGTGTGGTCTGTGCTATACACCCCTCAATCGGACCGACCCAAGCAGAGAGAGGCAAAGTAGTTCCCGTTCATCTCTGCGTATTCGGCCGCGCGTTATAATTGCAGGCAATGCGTTCCTACAAAATGCTTCTCCGGTACAGTAGGACGCCGTCCCGCTTACAAGGAAGGCTGAAAAAACCTCGCCTGACCCTCCGAGTAGAAGCTGGCGGAAGGACACACACTACATCTTGTATCATTGCATGTGTGGATCACTCCGCGCGGCCTCTTGTAAACATAGGCCGAAAGAAGTGCCGCCTTAAAGCGGAAATGACTGAACGTTGAGTCCAGGAGGAAGTGTGTGTGTGTAGGCCTGCACATGGTCCACAAACGTCACTGGATCGTTCGATTACATTTATCACGGTGGAATATTCCTCTAAAACACAAAATGGATTCTAGAGATTTACAAAAATAAATAAAGCAGTTCTGCAAGGCGTCCAATCAGCTTCTAGCTTCAGCTTGTTCAGTAAAGCATTAAAATGAAAGCTAGAAGCTGATTGGTTGCCATGTATTGCTGCTCCAGACTTAGAACATTCTCTTCAAACCAGCCAAATACATTCGAGGGCGGCTCCTGCTCTCTGTGTGGAAGCAGTGGTCTCTCCGCAGAGGTCAGACAACCCTCAGCCTTCCCAAGTCAGACCCATAGCTCTGCCATCAGCAAAAACACATGCTGATTGTCGATGAGAGGGGGGATTTTTGCAGAGAGTATGCTGGCAGGAGATAGGCTTTTCTACGTATCCTGTGGCTGCCTTATGATCCCTGAGGCTTGCTTTACACGTGTTTTATTGCTTTTTGTATTGTGTTTTTACACACGCATTTGTATTTGTTAAAAGTGGAAGATGTTTTGTTGCTGGGCAGAAGAAAAAAAAAAAAAAATGCAGCAAAAACACACAATAGTGGACCTTTCCGGGACCCATGACCAACCTATGGGCTAAGCTGCCCCACATGAGAAGGACATCCCCAGCTGCCTGCTGCTGAAACAATTCCCAGGAGGCTGCGGGCAATCGTGCATGCACCAAGGGCACACTATCAGGGGGCGCTGTCCTCTCCTGTGCCTTGTAGCCAGCTCCCCTGATGACACCCATGGGCCGCGTCTTCAAGGGATTGTCTGAAAGAACTAGAAGTGACAGCCGGCCCCGTGATGACAGAAGGGAGGAAAATGGCAGCGCAGGACCTGGTGTACAGCAGTGGACTGTAGCAGCAGATCGCTGCATTAGCTGGGTGGGCAAGTGTTGTTTATTAAAAGTGTTACTAAACCCAGGACCCGGCGTTCACTATATCCACTCTCCATGAACCCTGCGTTCACTACATCTGCGCTCCCCGGGTCCTGCGTTCACTACATCCACTCTCCCCAAACCCTGTGCACACTACATCCGCGCTCCCCGGGCCCTGCGCTCACTACATCCGCTCTCCCCGAACCCTGCATTCACTACATCCGTTCTCTCCCCGAACCCTGCGAAATCTACATCCGCTCTCCCAGGACTCTGCGAAATCTACATCCGCTCTCCCAGGACCCTGGCGCTCACTATATCCGCTCTCCCCGGACCCGCGCTCACTATATCCGCTCTCCCCGGACCCGGCGCTCACTATATCCGCTCTCCCCGAACCCTGCGAAACTATATCCGCTCTCCCCGGACTCTGGCGCTCACTATATCCGCTCTCCCCGGACCCGGCGCTCACTATATCCGCTCTCCCCGGACCCGGCGCTCACTATATCCGCTCTCCCCGGACCCGGAGCTCACTATATCCGCTCTCCCCCCGGACCCGCATCACTATATCCGCTCTCCCAGGACCCTGCTTCACTATATCCGCTCTCCCCACCCGGACCCGCATTCACTATATCCGCTCTCCCAGGACCCTGCATTCACTATATCCGCTCTCCCAGGACCCTGCATTCACTATATCCGCTCTCCCAGGACCCGGCGCTCACAGATTTTACAATTCTATAATTTCCTTTACTGGAATCAGTCATCGGACACAGGATAGTGGACACACCGTATTAAAAACAAGACAGTGGGTCCAAGGCTCCATGCACACGGGATGTTTTGATAACGCTGGTAACGTTAGCTGTGTAAAGTCTTTTTAGCGGTTTTGCATTAGCGTTAAGCCACGTTTTCCTGTGTTTTTCCACGTTTGCAGTTTTTTGGCGTTTTTTTTGGTCAAAAAAGTCCAAAAACGCCGGTTTGCAGTGTTTTTCAACGTTAGAGCATTTTTACAGCTAAAAAGCTCCTCTAGAAACCCACTAGTCCTGGGGGAGGGGGGGTTAGCCAAAAAACGTTGAGTACCATCTGTGTGTGCATGGACACATAGGATAACATGCTGGGGGAGGGGGGGTTTGCTGACTGTAGAAAAAAACGTCAAAAGCCAAAAACAGCCGCTGTAAAAACATCCAGTGTGTATTAGGGCTAACCCTTCTAGACTTTATCCTGAACCCTGCATACACTTTAAAGGCTAAAGTTCACCTTTTCCCCCCTAAATTCCAGCTCCCCTATGTACCAATACACAGTACCATTAATGTACCTCAGTTGCAGAAAAATAAAAGCTTTCTTTGATTTGGAGAACAAGGCCTTACCTTAGCCCTTGCTGTATTTCTTAGAAAGATTCATCACTTCCTGGGATGTAGATTTAGGACAGAGAAACCAGTAAGACACAGGAAGGAGTTCATCAGCTGATCTTATTAGCACACATCTGTGGCAGCATATCACCGCCACCCACTTCCACAGGTGCATGGTTTCCCAATTAATCAGTGATCACTGTTCTCTCTAAATACACAGGAATACTTTTTTTTATCTATTTTTAACCACTTGCCCTCCAGAGGATTAAGCCCCTGGTCACATCGGGTGCAACTTGGCATGCGATTTGCATGCCCTGCGACTTGCAAATTGTATGCCAAATCGCACTTATTGTCCGACTTGGTCAGAGCTTCACCGATTTCTAAAGTGGTGCATGCACTACTGTTGCGATTTTGCATAGACATCTGTGTCAGATGTCTTACAAATCACAATGAAATCGGCAGGTCACCTGTAAGTCACAACGCATGGATATAATAGAAATGTTCTCCAACCCATGGATGTAATAGAAATGTTCTCCAACGCATGGATATAATAGAAATGTTCTACAACCCATGGATGTAATAGAAATGTTCTCCAACGCATGGCTAGAATAGAAATGTTCCCCAACGCATGGATATAATAGAAATATTCCCCAACGCATGGATATAATAGAAATGTTCTTCACTGCATGGATATAATAGAAATGTTCTTCACTGCATGGATATAATAGAAATGTTCTTCACTGCATGGATATAATAGAAATGTTCCCCAACGCATGGATACAATAGAAATGTTCTTCACTGCATGGATATAATAGAAATGTTCTCCACGCATGGATAAATAGAAATGTTCTATAATGCATGGATAGAATAGAAATGTTCTCCAACGCATGGATGGTAGAATAGAAATGTTCTCCAACGCATGGGTAGAATAGAAATGTTCTTCACTGCATGGCTAAAATAGAAATGTTCCCCAACGCATGGATATAATAGAAATGTTCTTCAACTGCATGGATAGAATAGAAATGTTCTCCAACGCATGGCTAAAATAGAAATGTTCTCCAACGCATGGATATAATAGAAATGTTCTCCAACGCATGGATATAATAGAAATGTTCTCCAACGCATGGATATAATAGAAATGTTCTCCAACGCATGGATATAATAGAAATGTTCTCCAACGCATGGATATAATAGAAATGTTCTCCAACGCATGGGTAGAATAGAAATGTTCTTCACTGCATGGCTAAAATAGAAATGTTCCCCAACGCATGGATATAATAGAAATGTTCTTCACTGCATGGATAGAATAGAAATGTTCTCCAACGCATGGCTAAAATAGAAATGTTCTTCACTGCATGGATAGAATAGAAATGTTCTCCAACGCATGGATATAATAGAAATGTTCTCCAACGCATGGATATAATAGAAATGTTCTCCAACGCATGGATATAATAGAAATGTTCTCCAACGCATGGATATAATAGAAATGTTCTCCAACGCATGGATATAACTGCCTGTGTGAACGTGGCCCATTTTACTGGACTCCTCATTTTACATAGTTTTGTGGATACAAAACAAGGTCTTCCAATCTGATTGTACAGTATATGGACAGCTTTACATGCAGAGAAATTGATGTTCTAAAATGACACATACAGACATTCCCCGAGGCAACATGACAGAGCCGCAGGTGCGTCCATATATCACTGCACCCCGTACTGGTAAAGCATGACCTTCCCCGTACACTGCATGGAAAATAACGAGGACATCGCCAGATGGGGGGGAAAAAAAAAAATCACTCTGCTAGAAAGAAGCCGAAGATTGTCTGCGGATCACCCATCGTTTTATCACCGGCCTGGAAGAGACACGAGGACGAGATCTCCTTCCAAAAACGACATCTGGGATCACCTGGATGGTCCTGTTTGTAAGAAGCCCATGAATAAACAGCCAGAGGACATAACGACTGGGAACACCGGAGAACACAAGGATGCAAATCAGTCTCCAGGGCTGGAATGTGACAGTTAGACCCGGCCATTGTGTGCAACCTGCCCGCCAACACCGACTATTAGCAGCACCCACAATGTAAATCTCTTGATGCTGATAAGGAGGAAATTATCTGGTACAAAGTAAAGAGACAGACAATTGTCACCAGAACATCATCCAATGGAGACGTTTGTTTTGGTGACAACTCAGGCCAGGTCATACAAGTACAGATTTAGCGTGTTCAGCCCATGGATGGAGAAATCAAAACCCAATGGATGGACCAATCACCACAATGTTAATCTCTTGATGCTGAACAGGAGGAAATTATCTGTTACAAAGTAAAGACAGACAATTGTCACCAGAACATCATCCAATGGAGACCTTTGTTTTGGTGACAACTCAGGCCAGGTCATACAAGTACAGATTTAGCGTGTTCAGCCCATGGATGGAGAAATCAAAACCCAATGGATGGACCAATCACCACACAATGTTAATCTCTTGATGCTGAACAGGAGGAAATTATCTGTTACAAAGTAAAGACAGACAATTGTCACCAGAACATCATCCAATGGAGAACGTTTGTTTTGGTGACAACTCAGGACAGGCCATACAAGTACAGATTTAGCATGTGTTCAGCCCATGGATGGAGGAATCGAAACCCAATGGGTGGACCAATCAGCCACAATGTAAATCTCTTGACGCTGATAAGGAGGAAATGATCTGTTACAAAGTAAAGACAGACAATTGTCACCAGAACATCATCCAGTGGAGAGACTTTGTTTTGGTGACAACTCAGGACAGGCCATACAAGTACAGATTTAGCATGTTCAGCCCATGGATGGAGGAATCGAAACCCAATGGGTGGACCAATCAGCCACAATGTAAATCTCTTGACGCTGATAAGGAGGAAATGATCTGTTACAAAGTAAAGACAGACAATTGTCACCAGAACATCATCCAGTGGAGATCTTTGTTTTTGGTGACAACTCAGGACAGGCCATACAAGTACAGATTTAGCATGTTCAGCCCATGGATGGAGGAATCGAAACCCAATGGATGGACCAATCAGCCCAGCCAGCTATTGGATTCCGACAGCCACGGCTGTCTGTATACCTGAAGGGCAAGTGACTCCGATTGTACAGTCACTATTCTGCCAACAATTTTCCATCCAGCCCCTTCCAAAAATTGACCGTTGTTGAGTCAGGTGGTGCCAACAGCTCACATTTTAGCTGAATCAGCAGAATTGCCCAATATTCAAGTCGTGTATGGCGGGGTAATATACCCGACATACATACACGTTAGATGTGTAAAGTCACAATAAAAACGTGAATTTTTCAGTTTTTTTTTTTAGCGTTTAGCGACTGTTTCCCACGTTTTTTAGCTTTTTTTTTTACCTAAAAACGTCCACAAACGCCAGTTACAGCGTTTTTACAACTAAAAAAAACTCTAGAAAACCACTAGTCCTGGGGTTTTTTTCCAGGCAAAAAAAATCCCAGCCAAAAAACGTTGATTACAGTCTATGTGTGTATGGACACATAGGAGAACATGCTGGGGGGTTTACTAGCTGTAGGAAAAAACGTCAAAAGCCAAAAACAGCCGCTGTAAAAACATCCCGTGTGCATGAGGACTCAATGTGGACCATCGCTTAGGTTTTTCACTTTCCTCCATCCCAATGCTCCCCCTCCACAGCATATAAAAAGCTCACCATTCTAAAGAACAGGTTTTTTTTTTTTTTTTTTTTTCGTTTCGTTTTTTGCTGGTCACCTTGTCCCTCTCTAACCCACCATTCTCGTCTAGGTGAGGATGATGTACAGGGCACTTAAGAAGGGGGTGAAGTTGATCCTTAAGAAAGCGTTCTCTTTTAGAGAGACTTCCTCTCACTTCCTGTTCTGTTTCCAAGACAGGAAGTGAAGGGAAATCTCCCCAGTGGGACAAGAGCAGTAAATAAGAATGAAAAAGGAATTAAAAAAAAACAAAAAACACTAGTTTGGCTTTAGGTATACTTTACACTGGCCTTGTATAATCATCTGGGGGGACTTCTTGTATATACTAAGGCAGGGATGTCAAACTGGCAGCCCTCCAGCTGTTGTGACACTACAAGTCCCATCATGACTCTACCTTTGCAAGTCATACTTGTAACTGTCAATCTTGCAATGCCTCATGGGACTTGTAGTTTGGCAACAGCTGGAGGGCCATCAGTTTGACACCCGTGTACGAAGGTGTGTCAGAAAACAGT